GTCGAACGATGGAAGACTAATTTCAACCAATCACAAATGAATATTCAAAAGTCGCACAGACATCTTGAAAATTTGAAACTTGACGAACAAATCCGAACAATCAAATTTAAAAATGACCAACTGCAATTTAAGCGGGCAAATGAAATTTCAACTTTTACCAGATCTATGACGCATCTATGCAAAAAAAACAAACAAACAAAATTCAAATGATATCTGCTTGTTTTATACGGCAAAATTTATACTAGTAAAACTCATTTTTTTGATAATTTTCATTTTAATCTTGAATAAAAACGTTTTAGCGAATAGGGCGTCCAACAATTCTGATTGGAAAGTTTTTAGCATTCGGTCCCTCCATTGTGGGAGTATTACCCACCTAAAACTTTTTTGTAGGAATCAAGTGAGGGGCAAGATGGAAAGTGGAAATACAATTTCGTTCCCGGATAACCGGAAGTATTCAGTTCGCTCAAAGCCAAAAACCAATTGTCGATAAAATCAAGTTTTTTTATCTTATAAAATAAAGAAAGGCTCTCTCTCATTATAAGCCCCACAAACAAACAAGTTATTGACCCTAAAATTAAAAATTTTTATAATGAAGGAGGGGTTGCTTCAAACAATCGAAAATTCGATCAACCTTTTTTATTGGACCGGCCAAAAATCGGTCAATAATTTACAACTTATATAACACTGATGTTTTAATTAATTAATGGATAGCCAAATAAGTTTTGCTCATGAAAAAATTCGCGTTTTTATTGTTAACTAATTCCATGAAAGGAACGTTCTTACACACAGAAAAATTTTTAAATTCATTGATAATTTTGCTAGCTTAGTTTCGAGAAAAATCAATTATAATACTTTGATTGATCGGAGGTAAATTTTGTTGTTTCGGCTATCCGAGAATGCGATTTTGTGGGTTGGCACCGGAACCACACACTATTTTGTGCAACATTTGAAAACATTTTGTGTAAGGAAACGAAATTGATCTGCTGCATTTAACTAATCGCCATTCCTAATGATGTTTTTATTAAGTGTATTTCCTTTGCTAATTTTCCCCATTTAAGCATCTTTACAGAAAACCACCAGACTATTCAAGCCCACTTGAGCACCGAAAACGATAAATAGCCACTTTCTCTGAAACGTTTGACTGCAGCGCTGAATAAAACTCATTAAAAAAATTCGAAGATGTGTTATTTTTTCCCTTAAGAACATGTAGATTCCATACTAAAATGACTGCAACTTATTCACTCTGGTAGAATGACCTCTACTGTGGATATCTGTGATTCTATCCCTGTTATCCCATTTACGAATTCGTTGCCCTGAGATTCTTTGTTTGTTCCACAATTTTCAGTCATTATAGGGGCATAAAACTATCAAGAATGAGTCCCGCATATCTTTAATGTAAAATGAATCTGAATTGAGCAATTTCTCTTCCCCCCAAGTAAAAACGGTAAAATGCTACAAAAGACAAAGACGTGGGGGGAGATAGCTCAACTGATCAAAATGAGAAAGAAAATTAATTTTAATGGATTTTTGTGGTCTAAAACGTTGTCAATATAATTAATTCCTATGCCGCCCCCAGACAAAAAAATTCCATGTCGCCCTTAAGCAAAAAAAACAGGATTGCTCGTATCAGGGCGAAGCCCTGAATGTTCCGATTACCTGTTAAGGTATATGGAGCAGTAATAACGTAGAAAAATATTATAAAAAAAATAAATTAAAATTTTTTGTTCAAATTTCAAATTTTTTGTAGAAAAACATCCTCCACATGCCATACAAATTACAAAGTGGATAGATTTTGCTCCTATTAACACATCAATTATGGCAAATAAGCTTCTTTCAACCAATTTGGAACGATTTCTAAGACGGATTAAATCTCCGCTTACGCATTAATAGCGCGAAATATATCGCGCGTTAATTAACCCAACTTGGCCAAATGTGCAATCTTTAAACCCCCATAAGTTTACGAAAAATGATCACAGGTGAAATATCTTTTCAATATTAGGCTCAAGACACTAAAACCTTTCGATTGATAAAAAAAATTCGGTCAAAAATGACTATAGTTTAAAAGTCGAAATTTGTCTGAAGAAAAAAAAACCCACCCCGAGCCCAAACATTCCGTTACTTTCGTAAAGTCGGAACAATAAACTCAATTACAATCAATTATACTTCCTTTCATCCGAAAAAAGCGCCAGGGGCGGCGAATTTGGGGAGGACGGGGAGGGACGGGATCGGACGCCTCTTCTCAGGAATTCGTTCCCTGCCGTCCCAAAGGGTCACCCTTTGTACAATGTTGAGATATCCATTTTTGCTGACGGAGATATCCATTTTTGGTGATTTTCTGAGAAGCCTTCGGTGCAAATATATACTAATTTTGAAAAAAAGCGCGCCGAAAAAACGCAATTTTTTGGTAAGAATTTTTCAAAAAAGTGCCCAAAAAAGCCAGTTTTAGCCTACATTTTCAAAATTTTGCATACAACGCATAAAGTTTGGCCAAAACAGGATCTTTTGAGTGCTTTAGGAGATCTCGAAAATCAATTTTGTCGACCAAAAAAAGGCCGAAAAAATTTTCGAACTTTTTTTTGAAAATCACCAGCCCCCTTCCCACCCCCCTCGAGAAAATCCGAGATCCGCCCGTGCAAAGCGCAGCTATCAACATGAAATTTAACATTAAATGTTTTTGTATAAACGGCATGAAGTGTTTTTGCAACGTTAAAATTTAGAATAAAAAATCCATTGTTTTCAAAAATTCCTTCCTAACAGATGCCTGTTTAGTGGAATCCCTCATACGCGAAGAACCGAATGCGCGAAAATAAAAATCAGCCAATCAGATTTCAGTAATCTAAAATTTGGAAAGAAAAATAAACACTTCCAGGGACTGAATATTGATATTGGCCGAATATAAAAACGGCAGAAATATGCAAAATTTTCAAATTGTCACTGACCACCGCCGAATTGGAACAAATTTTATATTTCAAGGGTTTCGTTATGAAAGATGCAACATATTGCTTCATTTAATTCATTTGAATTGAATGGCAATTGCTTCTTTTTGGAAATTGATTTTCGGCTAATTTTGTTTTCGGTCCTTCGGTCACGAGTTTTTTCCGCGCATTCGGTCCTTCGCGCATGAGAATAGCCTCCGCCTGTTTATTACTTGCATTTAACTTTTTAGTAAAGGAAATCATCATTTATTAACCTTTGTTGGATTGATCTGGGGCTAATAAATCTTAAGAAGGAAACATAGGAAGGTTCAGTGTGTGATTTTGTTCACGCAGCCATGCAATCAAGCCAGATCAGCTCACGTGATCCATGCATGCCACACTAGTGGCTTTCGAGTTTTGATTCGAACTGCAAAAATATCAAATAATTTTTCCTTCTCGATATCTCGAGGAGAACTTGAAATCAAACTTTGATTTCAACATGATATACTTCGAAAACGCTGGTAGTTTATCTGTGAAAAAAATGTTACGTAAAATAACTCGAACTCAAAGTTCTTTACTGAAGTCGATAAGCGCGGCGACAAATGGTCAAAAAGGACAACTAGCAGTGACGAAAAATTAACAGTTTGCAAGCGACAAAACTTAGATAAAAATCTCATCCAATTGTCCGGTGTTAAGCGCGCTATAACCGCCAGGTGTTTTCAGTTTTTGGCGAGCACTCAACACAAATCAGCCCCTATGCAGCATACCACTTGAAACCCGTACAAATTGTCACAGATGCGTGTTCTCTCTTTTTCCAAAAAAAATGCGAATTGTCGCTTTCGATGAGTTGTTTCTTTTTCGGAAAAAAGCGAATTTTTGACCAGTTGTAGTGTCACAACATTTTTGACATTTCGTATGTAATTTTTTAAGCAAGATCTTGCTAGATTCATGCAAAACGTTGCAAGATAACCGTAATTTAAAATAAACGTAGTTTTGTAAAACTTAAAAAAAGTTCCAGCCAAACCAATAGCCAGACATGTATCAAAAAAGCATCTTTCAGCAACTTATCTAAGAAAAAACAGCCAGCTAGATCAGGGGCGGATCTAGGATTTTCTCGAGGGGGGGGGGGGGGGCGGATATTTTGTCGACCTTTTTTTAGGTCGACCGAAATAAATTTTCGAGCTCTCCCCAAGCCCGGTTTACTCCCTGTTTTGGCCAAATTTTCTGAGCCGCAGGCAAAATTTAAAAAAAAGTCCACAAAAGGCGTTTTTAGGCACTTCGCGTTTTTTCGGCGCGCGCTCCCCCCTCAAAATTAGTATATATTGGCGCCAAGGGCGCCTTTAGAAAAATTTCAGGGTCGGTCGGCCAGAAATGTATTTCTTAAAAAGTACCAAAGGGGGACCCTTTGGGTCGGCAGGGTCGAATCCCTGAGGGGGGTGGGGCGTCCGCCCCCTCCCCCCTAAATCCGCCCCTGAGCTAGATACTAAACCACAATAAAAAACGTTCACTAGAATTGCTTTTTGAGGTGAGCCTTCAAAGTCGGGTCGTCAGGCCTTCAATCATGTAGTTTTCTCCAGCTCGGTCTGCATCCCTTTTAAAAGTTTTTCACTACAGCAAATTGACGTTCAATACCAAAAATTGAAAAGTTAATTGCAGGAAACTTGCGAGACTCTTGCAAGATAAACGTATGTTGCCAAGACACTGACAAGATAAATAAATATTAGCGATTGGCTACAGGGTATTCTTGCTACAATATTTGGAGCAGTTCACGGCTGCCTCCATCATTAACACGTCCCTGCCAGACAGAAAAAGAGTTTTTAGTTTTCACATATTAATTTTAAGATTAAGGTGATCAGAACATACTTTATTTTGAAAAAGTCATATTTTCGAAACTCACCTTTCTATTGTTTTTGTCAAATTTTATTGCCACTGACATCAAACATAGAAAATAGTCTAAAAAGTTGTTTTGCAAATAGATAAATGAAGCAATTCGAAAAAATAGAACCTTTAAAAAACGTCTATTTCTGTTTTTTCAAGCACTAGTTTAATCTATTTTCTCTAATAACTACTTTATAACTTTTTTAGACGGAGTGCTGGACGCCACGCCCTTCTTGAGCAACGGCTTCGACAAAGTCATCGCCCAACTGGCCAAACTTGAGAAACTGTGTGAGGGGATCATGTACGACAAGCAGCGGGACAGACGCCGCAATGCTGTCATCCGAGACTGGCAGTACTTGAGTCGCATTGTGGACCGACTGAGTGCCATTCTGTTCGTACTACTCACCACCACTCTCAGTTTCTACTTCATTCTGACTGCCAAGTACGGCGAGCCAGATTTGCCAACCGACAAACCCTACTACTGATATAGACAGGAGGACCACATGAGAACAAAAAAAACTAGATGTAATTCAGAACTTCTAACAAATTAAAAGCTGATGGAACGCAGCTAAACACAAAAATATTGAAATCGTACTGAATTTAGTACTTCCATTTAACAATATGGAAAATGTTAAATAGATCTCAATGATTCAGGGGCGGATCTAGGATTTTCTCGAGGGGATTAGGGCGGCTCAATGTTTTTTTTTTAAATCTGGTCGACTTTTTTCACGTCGACCAAATTGATTTTCCGAGCAAATCCAACCCCCCCCCCCCCTAAATCCGCTACTGCAATGATTCATACATAGGTGATGTTCGAGCCGCGGTGTTCACTATAACTCTTATTTCACGGAGAGCGAATGAATGGTTTCCCTTTTGAATGCAATTCTATGCAATATATTACAAAATTAGTTGCGTTTGACTCCTGTTGGAATATTCAACAGCAAAAGAGGGCAAAAAAACTGGAGACTTACTAAGGAAACGGGAGAGGTAATGAGGGCCACGATTTTTACCCAGCTTTTAGACTATGAGGCTGATGCAATTCATCTTATGGAAAACAGATTTTAAATTAGTTTATTTTTCAGCCAAGTATAAAATGATGGGCAACTGCGACCGTGGTGATATTAATGATGCTCCCAATTATCGCCAGGGCATTCAAATATCTATTTTTAACAATATTTTTCTTCTTTACAAATATCAAAATCATTAATTCAAAAATTCTTTTGAAAAATGATATTTTGTCAAAACAAGGCGGCCAATTTTTATATGTGCAACGAATCAAAAACCTTTTGCTTTCTACCTTTTTCTTGATGAGTTTGTAAAATTATATATATCCAAACAATATGGTTGAGGGAGGATTTTTAAGGGGTGAATAACTATATAACTTCTCATGTTTTATTTGAGTTAAATCTAGAATAGAACAAGACTGCTCGTATCAGGCTGAAGCCCTGAATGTTCCGACTGCCTTTTAAGGTTTATGGAGCAGTATTAACCAACAAAAATTAATGTAAAAAAATAAAACTTGTTTTCTTCTGAAATTTGAAATAGATGGACTTTCCTAAAAGATAGATTCGCTTCTTGCAACAAATCAATAATGGCAAATTAGCTTCTTTCAACCAATTGGGAACAATTTGTAAGACAAATTATATCTCCGCTAAAAATGGATAGTTAAAAAGTCAAAATTTGCACAAATATTTTGTTACTTTCGTATCGAAAGTCGGAACAAAAATATGTGAGAGTCAGTTATGTAACTTTTCTACTCCTTCAGATATAACTTCTCTGCTCGTACTGAAGTTTCCATCATAATCGTTTAACAAGACTGCTCGTATATTAGGGCAAAGCCCTGAATGTTTCGACTGCACTTAAGGTCAGCTGAAAAGTTTTCTTTCGGTTGAATAATTGACGAAATAGTTGAGAAAAAAGAAGAATTTTCTTTTTAATGATTTTTTATTCATCTTATGCCCCCACACGATAAGTAAGGTACTGAGGGTGTCTTTAGAGTATCGCATTGTGATAATAGGATTAAAATGCTGGCCTCAATTCAATTTGAAACGTATTAATTTGCTTCTTACGCGTGTTATAAGTACGCAATATATCGCACTTTAAATATCTCAAATTGGCCAAATTAACAATTTTTAAACGCTCGTAATTTTACAAAAAATGATCACAGATGAAACTCTTTTAAAAAATTTGAGCTAAAAGTGACAAAATCTCTCAGATGGTAACAAAAAATTCCGTCAAAAACGCTTCCGGGTTGAAGTCACAGAGAAAATCATTACTTCTCCAGAAACTTTTTAGTAAAATATCAGTTCTGTTTCAGATTCTGGCAATTGGCAAATTAACTCTGATTAGAGATAAACCAGCGACAAAAAACCCAGTACTGTAACAGTACTGAATCAGTGCTGCTACAGTACTGTTTTTATTCTGCTTTTTTTTTTCTGACCAGAATAAAATAAGAGATTTTGTTCTGATAATTCTCTGATCAGAAAAAATCAGAGATATTGTTCTGTTATATCTATGATCAAAAATCGAATAAAAAAAAAGTAAAAATCTTAAAAACTACAAATATCCGCGCCTTGACAGAAACATGATTTCAATGAAGTTATTTGGTTGGGCTGATTTCAAAAACATTTTCGGCCATCTTATTGAAGATTTATTTGGGATTTTCTGAGAAAAATTTTAAGGAAATGTCGGTATTAAAACTCAATTATAAAATAATTAAAAGCTAGGCAAATTATGATTTCGACAATTTTTGAGTTTATTTCTAGCTGTGAAAGGATGCATCATTTTAAAAAGAAAAACTTTTTCAATTTTTTACAAAAAAAGTGCGACATTTTTTTCTAAAAATTTAAGGTTAAGTTAATGGTTTTTTGATTGGAACGACACGTAACAAAACTTGGAAATCAAATCGAAATTTAGTAAAAAAAATTTTCAGTTATAATTTATAACAAAAAGAAATTAAATAGTACTGTAACAGTATTGTTACAGTTCTAGAACAGTACTAGCAAATTTTTTCCTGTTCAATCTCTTGGTCAGATGAATAACAGAGTAAAATCCTGAGGCAGGAGTGCTGCTGTAAATGGTGATGTAAACTCTGATATAGGACTGGTTTTTGGTTTTTGTTGTTTCTGTTGAACAGTACTGATAAACTTCTGTGACTTCAACCCGGGATTAGTCAACAAGTCGAAAATTGACTGAATAAAAAAAATACGCCAAGCATAAGTAATCCGCACTTTCTTCGAAAGTCGGAACAGTTAACTTTAGGACCACGAAATCTATTATAACTCATCAGTTTCAAAGAAGATATATTGATTATAATACATTCAAAACCTAATAAATGTTTGTTCCAAATCTTCTGCAAAACTTTTTCTGCATTACTGACAGCCTACTCTATTTCTAAATTTACTCACCTGTTCTTTATTGTTTCATAGCAATAACCTCACATTTTAATACCCATCTTCTCTTTTTTACCTCCAAATTACACCACATACATACTCACCATTGCCGCCAACCTCAACACTCACTGCCATTTTTACATCCACCTTTGCAACCTCCCTCAAACTTAGGCTTCCCACTCTAACCCCCCCCCCCCCTTGAACAAAAGAATCAATGAACGTATCCAATGAACCAGTGCGTCATATTTTTGTTTTATTTCTAGAAATGTAGTCTCTAAAACTCTTCGAACCAACAGGACCAATGAGTATTTTGTAGTTTGATTTACATAATTGATCAGCGCTAGGTATTTCATTTAGCCTTAAACTCATTCAACTGGTAATTTTTTGGAAGTCGTTTCAAATTAGAATCAAGATAAGCAAACTCGGAAGACACATATAGTTTGAAACTTTGAAGTGAAGAAAACGTTTTTGGAAAAAGTGACTTGAGTACAACCAAAATGATGACAGCAAAAAAAAACCGCCGTTGGTTCTACTGTAAGACATTCGCAGATCTTTGTTGCACTTTTCTTTCAGAATTATATAAAAAAAAGAAACATACGCAATTATGAATATTTATCATTACCATAAAAATTGGAAAATTAGATAAAAAATTCTTAAACTTTGATTTTAAAGGAGTTATAAGAACTAGAGGGAGGGCTTCTAGTTTTAAGTTATCAAACCCCTAATACAAAATAGTCCCACCAAATTGGTCTGAAATGATTCATAATTATCATTTAGCTTTAAAAAAAATTAATTTAAAAACGAAATGGCCTGAAATTTAAAAAAAAAGCGGTCAGACATGCTTTTGAGCTGCTGAAAGAGTTTTCGAAAAAAAAACTTTTTGAAAATATAATTAATTAAAAAATTTGAGGGTGTTCAGCAGTGCCGAAACTGTAGAAGTTTTCAACAGGGTCAAAATTGAATAATTTTGCATTTCGTGACAAATGAGTAATAACCAAAAACACCAACTTAAAGTCATTAAAATCAATAAAAACAGCAATGTCGCCAATGTTATTGCAAGCACAGCAGAGAAAATTTTCACCAGTGCTTGATAACTATCAAAAATTTGTATCAGCACATCAAATTTGTCATAAATTTTTAAACCAATGTGGGGAAATGTTTTTAACAAAAATATTCATTCTGTCTGACAAAGAAAATCTGAAAACAACAACTACCAGCATGACATTGTAATTTGAGTTAGTAAAATTTTCTGTCATTTAATTCTAGAGAGCACCAAGGCTACTCGTGTATCAGAGCAAAACTTTAAGTGTTCCAACCGCACTTTAAAGCCAAATTAAATTTTTCTTGGTTGAATGATTGACGAAAAAATGAAAACAAAAAAAAAGGTTTTTTTCTTTTTTTAAAGCTTTTCATTGTTTTCAACCCCCCAAACGTTATGTAAAACACGAACATTGTGTTTAGCTTCTTGATTTTCAAACGACTAAACTGCTGACCTTAATTTAATTTGGAATGCATAAATTTGCCGCTTACGATGTAGTAATAACGCAATATGTCGCGCGTTAATTATCCCAAATTGGCCAAATTAGCAATTTCAGACGCCCGTAATTTTACAAAAAATAATCGCAACTAAAATATATAACTTTTGAATTCAAGCTCAAGACTACAATGTTTTTCAATTTGTATAAAAATATGCTCAAACACCCTCAGTGAAAAATCAAAAGCTGATTGAATAAACAAAACCAACACAAGCATAAAAATTCCGCACTTTCTTGGAAAGTCGGAACACTTTTGTTTGACTAAGCTTGGAAATGTATTGGCTCAAAGTTTATTAAATACTCCACTAGGCAGACCAATGAGTTATCAAATACAGCTTACAATTTACTTATTTATAATTGAAAAGGCTGTCAAAAAGATATTATAACAATTTTTGCGATGTTCAATTGTATACGCACTCATTGTTAAAAACAAAATTACAAAAAAAAATCAAAAAACAAGGCACTTAAACAATTTTCATTTGCTGGCTGAGCTTTTAGTTTCATCATTCATCACGTGACTACTATTCCGACCTTCAAAGACAGTGACAAAATTTTGTGCTCGGGGTGGTTTTTCTCGAGACCAATTTAATAATATTAATAATTGTAGTTTCTGCTGGTCGCAGAGGATCTGTAAAAGGATATCCAGCCCGTCTACGCATATACTGTTTTCCCACATTCTGTTTTTTTTTGGGCGGAGCTTTTTTGCAACTCAAGGCTGTTTTTCTGCGTCTAGAACTTTCATGTGATACTATTGCAACCAAATCAGGTATACCTGCAGTAGACCTGGAGCTAGAGATCAAGCGAGAACTCGTCCTACAATCTCTGCCATCGCAGAGGGGCAATTACACAGATCTGATTTAATGCATCCTAAAAGCTTCATCATGAAATGAAAACAAACAATTAGGAGGATATTGATTTCCGGGTCAGGGTGCTTGACTTAAGTTTCGAGTTTGAAGGTGGAAAAGGATCGGTTTTTCGACTCAAACCCGCGG